AAATGGGCATTCATTTGGCTTTAGTCGAGGAAAAATTTGCAATTTAGCGTGAAACCGTTGAAAAATAACATGAGTGCTAGTGAATCAGTAATTGACCTAGATTGCATCCGCGCTTCCGGACCGCATCGCGGTTTCCGCTATCTGATGTTTTTTAAATTGGCATTACGATTCTTTATATATTAGGTAGAAGATTAGATGATCAAATCACGCATTATGCATTCTCTGACTAAGAGACACCAGCGCGCTCTGCGTACGGTCCAATTAACAAGTTTAATAGTGAGTTTTAACGCGTTCTGATAAATTCTATATGAAAAAGCATGTTTGAACTCGCGTGTCTATCGTGCTCGTATCATCGGCTTCTAGATTCGTGTGGAGGCGGGTTGCGGACTTCCCTGATTTTCAGGATAAACTTGTTAAACCTCCACGTCACAGCATTGTATTTCGTACTCTCTCGTTGAGCTTATCCTTAAAATCAGGGAAGTCCGCAACCCGCCTCCACACGAATCTGGGAGCCGATCATACATGTTTTTTCACGAAATTTCAATAGTAAATCAACCGAAACGTGTTCATAACTTGTTGATTTGACGTACACAAAGCGTGCTCGTATCTCTTAGTCAGAGAATGAATCATACGTATATTTTAATTCAAAGCAAGGTGTAAAATTTTTGGACTTTGAGTGGAAGTTCTGCTCTATTACGCTTTGGATCCCTGAAAAACATCTGGCAGCATAGCCGTAATATTGACATCGATGAAGACTTGCCCAGCTTTTTGCCCCCATTGTTCTTTCCAAGAGCAATTTTCCGATTTACGTCCGTTTTTTGCTATTCGACCTTGTAGATTCATGGAACTTTTCGGATGTCATTAATGCATTAGCATGTGGAACTCGATGGTTTTCTGTCATTAATTCGAGTGTGTTCTTCGCTATGCATCTTTTTTGACTTTTCAATGTCTGACAACAACCTCTTCAATATGAAAAAATATAGATGGCAAAATTTCATCTACTTTTGGGTAAAAGCACAACGATGTCATATATCTTGGACGATTTTTTCTTTACTGTTGTCTCTTTCTTTCTTTAAGTGATTCTCGTTCTTCAGCATTCTTTGAGTGCAAACCTAACAGTTCCCTTATAGATATTTGTTGGATATGGTCTGGTCTGAACAGCACTTGAATAGTTTCTATCTTATATATAAAGCTGAATGTCTGTTTGTATGTATGTATGTCTGTATGTATGTGTGTACGTATGTTCCGAATAGAAAATTCCATTTCTGAACCGATCCGGACCAAACTTGGCACACATACACTACGGGCCCCGGCGGGTGTCATAGGCTACTTTTCGTCATCGATCGATATCGATTTTATCGATTTTTATCGATTTTTTTGCTGAGTTCACCTACGGGGCTGGGAGTTGGCACAGGGGGGTAATCGAGCATGGGGATTCCGAATACAATATTGGTTTTCAGGATTATCGATTACTTTTATTGATTTTATCGATTTTTTTGCAAAGTTTGAGCTACGGGGCTGGGAGTTGGCACAGGGGGGTAATCGAGCATGGGGATTCCGAATACAATATTGGTTTTCAGGATTATCGATTACTTTTATTGATTTTATCGATTTTTTGCAAAGTTTGAGCTACGGGGCTGGGAGTTCGCACAGGGGGGTAATCGAGCATGGGGATTCCGAATACAATATTGGTTTTCGGGATTATCGATTACTTTTATCGATTTTATCGATTTTTTGCAAAGTTTGAGCTAGGGGGCTGGGAGTTGGCACAGGGGGGTAATCGAGCATGCTGATCATCCCCAAGGGGGGTGATCAGCATGCTCGATTACACCCCTGTGCCAAATTCCAGCCCCCTAGCTCAAATTTTCAAAAATCGATAAAATCGATAAAAGTAATGGACGATCTTGAAAACTAATATTGTATTCGTAATCTGCATGCTCGATTACCCCCTGTGCAAACTCCCAGCCCCGCAGGTCAAACTTTACAAAAAAAATCGATAAAATCGATAAAAGTAATGGACGATCCTGAAAACTAATATTGTGTTCGTAATCAGCATGCTCGATTACCCCCCTGTGCAAAATCCCAGCCTCGCATGTCAAAATTTACAAAAAATCGAGAAAATCAACAAAAGTAACCGATAATTCTGAAAACTAATATTGTATTCGGAATCCCCATGCTCACTTCCCCCCTGTGCCAACTCCTAGCCCTGTAGGTGAACTCTGCGAAAAAATCGATAAAAATCGGTAAAATCGACATCGATCGATAACGAAAAGTGGACTGTGACACCCGCCGGAGCCCGAAGTGTATGTGTGCCAAGTTTGGTCCGGATACGGCGGAGCCGGGTAAGCCAGCTAGTAGATTATAAATTATAGCAGCTTAGATAAACTTTTCTTTCAGGAAAAATGAATCAGTCACATTCAGTAGTTTAAGGTTCCTTTCAAAGCTGTTATAAATTTCTGTTATTAAGATATCTCGAATTAATCTCGATCTCAAGGAGCGCAATCTAGCTATTTTTTGTTATTGAAAACCTGCTTGCTATATAATTTTCCGTCCCTAAATTCACATTTTCGGTTAGAAATATGTATAGATTTGCATTTTTGCTATGCGGCTATAAATAGCTTTTGAGCTAAATCTATTTCTATTGAAGTTAGAGAATTTCATGACCCTAAAACCCTGAAGCCGCTTAGAGTCCGGTTTCTCTGTTCTAATGGCTCTTTCATTCTTATGTTTTTTGGTGATTAAAAGTGCAACTTTCAATCAGAGGCCTGAACTTGGCTTGTGTTTCGCTTTGCTTTGGCTTTTGCAAATGCGGTGAATTTTTTGTCAAATTTATTTATGGGTTTTATTTTATTTTAGCAAGAACTTTGCAAGCTTAATGTCTAATGATAGAAGCTTTTTTTCTAATAACTAGAACAATATGTACTCTGAGTTTTTTTTACAGTCAACCCTTCCGATCTGTTGACTTGCGCAAAATTCCGGTTATTCCAGAAATTCCTTTTGATGATGTAAAGAGCCGTCATTTTTGATTTTTACAAGACACATTTTGATTTATTTTTATTTTTCTAACGTTTTATAAAGTAAAAGTTTCACAGCCTGAATAAGTAGCCCAATAACTAACGCACTTTTTACTTCTTTCTGTGTGTAAACTCAATTTTGCCTCACTAAATAGCGATTCGTTCGGTAATGGCCTCCTCCGCCCTGTATGTGGCCTTGAGCTGGGCCACCAGCTGCGTTAGTCGCAGTGGATCTCCCTCATTCTGGCTAACCTACTTGAGACATGGAACTTTTTTCCTCCCAATCGCTTCATTTGTGTTTGGTTTGCCATACAAAGACATGGTTTTTGTTTTTGACTGAGCCATCTTCCGAAAATCTGGTAAAAATATCGGTTTTCATGTGCCAACTGTAAATGTAAATCCATCCTTTTCCGTCGTGGACAAGTTCAATTTAATTTAAAAGGATTTTTTTGAAACTATCATAAGCGTCACATGAATGAATTTTTTAGTGGTCTTTTCGACGATGATTTAGATTTGATCTGTCGATTTTTGAAGTGTCAAAAATGACCAAAATTATTTTTCTTCCAAGCTGATCTTATTATGCAAGAGTATGAGCTTTATAGTCTCTGAAAAACGAGGGTTTTTGTTTTTCAATTTGCCTTAATTCTTCATCCTCAAGTTCCCCATAGTTATGGGCCACCTATGAATGCCAGCTCATGTCATGAGCTTCTGTTGCTTGCTTTTATATTTCTTAGATTTCAACAGATTTGATTTTTGAGGAAGTTGAGTGAGTTAAAGGCAATATCCCGCAAAATTTCATTTTCCAGTTTTTCACCTTTTCGGAGCCTTTTTGACATGGGGAATCCATATCTGGTGTCTTCAGAGCATGGAGTTGGCAAAAATGAGCTTTTGCCGAAGCTTTTCAGGTCCATCTTTAGTGGAAAATACGTGTGAGTGGGCGGGGCCGGGAACGAGGGGTGCGTAAGACTTTTGGCGTATTTTTACTGAATGCGGACCTGAAAAACTGCAAAAAAAGCTCATTTTTGCCATTTTTATGCGTTGAAGAGCCCAGATATGGGTTCTACATGGCGAGAAGGCTCCGATTAGGTGAAATTTGGAAAGCAAAATTCTGCCGGGACATGCCTTTAAGCTATTTGTTCCGTAAAGTGCATATTTGAGGGTGTTGACCAACTATTGTCGAGAAATTTGAGCTTCTTTTCTGGCCGTGCAACAAAGCGTCATTCGCTCTTTTCGCTCTGTTGCAAATGTATGCCTTTATCTCTTTTTTTATGCTATTTGTTCCAAATGGGTTTCTTTGAGAAATTCAGAGCTAGGAATACAGTTGGTGTTCATAATAGGGTATCTTAACGTTTATGGAATATAGCCATATATATCCATGTTTAACTTTTATATTTGCCTGCCTCAAAAAGACTTGCTTTTTCTCAACGTAATATCTAACAATAAGACGTCTAATAAAGATATCTTCTTGAAGACCTTCTACTCCAAGTAACATCTTTGCATAGCCTAATTTTTTGTTTGTCATCAATCCTTTCTCTTTCCCTACTTTCAAAAAATCGCCTTGTTTCAGTCAGAACAGCTGTATTTCTCATTGCGCATAGATCTTTTGGTTACTTTTTTGGTTTACTTAAGTTCAAACAGCTGTTTAGCTGTCATTTTACCGCTTACCCATCAGATCTGGCTTTCGTCTAGCAAAATTAGATATTTCGCTGTAGATTTCGGCTTTCCCCATTATCACACTCCTATGGCTGAACAATTGTTTGGATTTGTTTGCGTCATTGAATACATGATACACTTCATCGTAATGTGATTGATCACAATCGATAGAAAGGCTATTATCCGATGGCAATGATCTCGTATGATGATTGCCCAAAACATGTTCAGCTGGTCTAGCTCCCTTTCATCTGCTAGTTTTCTAGTGCGATAGTCGTAATGTTGCGTAATTCCCTTGTACTTTCCTTTATGTTCGTACTTTTTGTTTTCCCTACTCGTTCATTTATTCACTTCTACAAAGTTTCAGCATGCCATCAGATGATCGGTTTGCTGATGCGGTGAAGCCAGCTTTAGGTAAATGCTAATATACTTATGTTGAAAGCAATTCTTATGGACTTTTTCTTCAATTCCGCAGTGTCTCTATAGTGAACTCAAAAATTTTCTGCCATCCAGCTGAAATGTTTCTTTGCTGTTGATTCATCTTGAATAGTATAGTAGGTATATATTCTCATCAATTAATTTAATGAATGCTGTTATTGCGATCAGAATGCAGTCTTGGTTATATCAGTTGAGTCGCAGTTTTGTTTTGTTATGGTAAAAAAAACATTTTAGGGGTAAAAGAACATTTGCAACTTAGAATTAGTTAAAAACACATTACACTCCAGTGGCGGACCGAGGGGGGGGGGAGAGGGAGGCCCCCGAGAATGGGTTGCGAATTTTTTGAAATTTACTTGCATGGGCTATAAAATTGTGCGAAGGGTCACCTCTTTATTCTTCTGAATGATCAGAACAATTTTTTGAATTTTCTAAAAATTCAAATTAGCTTTGTAAGAAAATTTTTTCGGAGGCGGAGTTAGAGGTTCCTGAAAATTTTGGGTAGCATACCAAAATGTCTTTTGGAGTGCGTGGCTAAGGCCACGCGCCTCTATTTGAGGAAAGTTTTGCCGCCCCTCCCCCGGATGATTTTAGGTGTTCGAGGAGTTCAGAACAGGGCTCGACACAGGTGGCTTATAAGGAACCGAATATCGTTTTTAGGACAAAAAGCAGGGGAGATATCGTTTTTGCGGTTAAAAAACACAAGTTAGATCTGGTTTTTTAGTCATAGTTCTGATTTTGGGTCAAAAAGGAATGGTAAAATTATGCGAAAGTCAGAAAAGATCGTTTTTTGCATATTCGTATATTATTTCTAATGCGCATTATCATGACTAGAGTATCCGTTACAAGTTCAGTGTTGCATTTACCCCCATTGAATTTTCAACTGTTGCCCTGGGTTATCTTGTCAAATGCAGACTATGAATAATTTCGAGTTTTTTTGTGCTCAAAGCCAGAATATTTTCTCACTCAAGTGAAGAAGTGTCTTTTTTTCTGTGGTATATGGAAGGGTTACGTTTCTGACCGAAAGTGGAAAATCTTGCTATCTCAAAAGCAACTTTCCCCTCAAAGGTCCGCTTGCCACTTTCATTCTGGCCCTTAATATTGTAAGTAGAATTTTGAGTTTAAAGTCAAATTTAGAGAGCTTCATTGTCGAACGCAGGTATGCTTGATGGTTTGTTAGAGATCACATTATATCAGAACTGCGATTGCTGATGGGTTCAAACCACAAAATTCTGTCTCGAGTCGGTCAAAGTTCAGTAGGTACTCATTTGCTTTGGCCGCTGTGTTTTCTGCAGCATGGCAAGCACTCGAAAACATATGTTTGATTTTGTCGTAGTAATGTGGGGCAGATTTATGATGTTTGCAGAGTAAGAGTGGTAACTTGGGGCAGCCTTTGGGTTGGGGCAGCCCTTGGGTAGCCTCATTGTTTACCTAAAAAAGTTGTTGATGCTTTGTTTAGTAAAAATGGGGATCGGAACCGTTCTATAGATCAAACCCTTATATTAATTTATAAATGCCAGAATTTTGAAAGAAAAATTGTGTTCTGTAGTCAAGAAACTTGGATAATTGTATACATTCCACACAAATTTATTTTCATAATAAAATAGTCTTTGTAGTCAAATTTCGTCAAATGATTGGTGTTACACTTTTGTATCACTCTTTTTATTCTGATTTTTTCCAATCGCTTTAGGCGAAAAAATTTCTGAGCTCAGACATTTGTTCTCATTTTCGCAGTGTAAAGCTCATGCCGAGAGCACATGAGAGTGGGAGGAAGCGCTCTTGCTCCTGCTAACCTTTGACAAATATCAGCTGGCATCGATTGCAAGTATGTGAAGGATGCGAAGAGTTGAGAATCTGGGTTCAGAAAGATTAGATGTTGGAAATAGATCAGTTTGGGTGAGAAAATGTGATTTTGACAAAAAAAATAGAAAAGGATACCAAGCGGTGCATTGGCGATAGAAACTAGGAACTGAGTTGTGTTTACGATGCATACAGTCTGATTTTCATTTCTGAAGAATATATCAATAAAAGTAATCATGAAAAAAACTGCTCGCTAAACACCGCACTTTTGAATTTGTGTCTGGCGCTTTTCATCTGATAATCATATGAACCAGTTTTGCGAGCCAGTTATTCTATCGTCTGTGCAATTCATCTTATATTTATTTATATGTCATTGTTACCTGCATAGTTTTGTAGAGTGATGACCGACCGTAAACTCAAAAAAAAATTGACAGATGAAACAATTTCTTCGTTGGTGACAACACATAGCTCAAAAAATGGCATTAAAATCGCCACAAAACTTGGAAATCCGCCTGTGGGCATTATTTCACGCGCAGATGTTGCTGACACCGCAACCTCCTAAGTCTAGATTGAATGTGCTTTTTCCCATAGCTCTTTGCTACCTTGCTTATTCACTAATGCGTTGGGATATAGATAGTAGAATTTTGCCCAAGATCGAAAAGTACGTTGGTCTACTTTGATGACTGGAATTTTACACAAAAAAAAACAACAGGAAAATAGTGGTGTACGTTCCATGCTCACTTCGATGATGTAACGTTTTACACCCGATCAGGTAAGGGCTCCCTGTTAACGTGATGTCTATTAACCTCCCGATCTTGATGCGACGCTGTTTTACCGTTATAAGCGAGGGCCCACCAACCATTTGGAAGCTCGCTTATGAAGGTGAAACAACTCCCGATCTGAGACTGGAAGATTGGTGCACCTAATCGGGCGTTGCTTCTGACCAGGTTGGGCCTCCACGAATTGTAGACCTCAAGGACCGGGCTATCGTGTTACCCTAATTTCACGCGTATAAGGCGCGGGGGATTTTTTTCGAAAATCGACTAGCTCAGACACGCCAAGAGACTTTTCAACCAAAGAACTCTATAACATGCTGTGTATCGCTTGAGAGAATCGTGCGGTATAAAGATTTCTTTCCGGAATACAGTGAAGCGGCTGAGCGGCTCGCTTGGAAAATCGAAAAAGTGCGCTACGCGTGAAATTAGGGTAATAAGAAAATCGAATCTGTTCGACTTCCATGGCGTACTGTTATAGTGCTGCAGAATTTGAAGGATGTTACCGCCCAGATTTGCAACCAAAAACCTTCTTTCGCCCTTAGTCTTATTTAGCCGTGCGTATTTTAAGAGCAGAGGGATTAGTGAGATGTGCATTCCAACTTTTATAACTTTGAGGAGTCCGCCTTGTGCGAATCAGACGATAAATATCAGTTTCAATCTCTGATCAGACGCTGTTTCACCTTTACGAAAGAGTGCCCGATCGGGCGATATTTGCTTGGTCAGGTAACAGCGCCCGATCGATGATTGATACTGCAAGTAACTTGTTTAATCTTTTGAATAATCAAATAAATATTCAAAATTTTTTAAAATTCAAATTAGCTTTGTAAAATTTTTTTGGGGGGAGTGGCGGTAGCCTTAAAAAAATTCCTCTAAATTTTCTTAGACATTCTTCTAGGTTTTAGGGGTTAGAGGCCCGCAAAATTGTGAGAAGCACCTCAAAATTTTTATTGTGAGAAGCACCTCAAAATTTTTTCGAGTACGTGGTTAACGCGACGTATCTTCATTTGAAAAAAAGAATTTTGCCCCTCCCCCCTTCCGTCCACGAACAGAAATCCTGGGACTGCCACTGCGCTCCTGGAAATGTTAGGGCTCTTGCAAGGGTTTTTGATGACTTCTACATGAGTTATCGGATTACAGTAGTTTCAAAAAAAAAACTGTTACCATTCTAGAAGCCCTTCTATCGGATTTGCAACATACAACCGAAGTGCTACGACGAGCGAATGCCACATCGCCACGCAATAATGCGGATATCGAGCCGATCTATCAGGAACAAACGAAACGTTCGCCACTGAAGTGAGTCGCTAGTGACAGCTATATATCATGCCATTGCGCGGACGCGGAATAGGTGCATTCAAGGCATCGCTTAATGGCCTTTGCTAATAGTAAAGCGGTAATATTTTTCTTCTGGCAAAGTGCTATACGGTAGGATAAATGCTAGCTATGCATTTTTCTTTCTGTTAAAAAATCAGCGGAATTTTTTTTGATGTCACGAGCGCAAAAAGTCGACAGTCGCATGCCATGATTTGTGCCCGTATGCACGTACATCCCCGCGGGGAGGGGAGGGGATCTGAGAGGGGAAGCGTCATATCTCGCTAGTCTACATATCTTTCTCCTCCTTTCTCTATCTTGTTTATGAAGCTTCTCATACACTGATACCTGCGCATAATTGATGCCAGGTTACTGTCATACAAGATTAGATATTCACTAGTCTTTCTGATCCCCTGGGGATCCCCAGGGGATCACCTCACATTTTCAAAGTCATTTATCTTCCTGAAAAATCAATAAAAACGCTGCAAAGTTGTACTAAAGATATACTACGATACTGCTGAGCATGTTTTCGACAGAAGAAATGGAATCTGAAGATTTTGATTTTTTCGATAATCCCTGGCTCGCGAGCAGCGGTTCATCGAAGATTTTGATATTTTAAGATTTCACTCATTCCTACCATAAACATGTTTTGCAGTGCTTTAGTATATCCTCAGTACAATTTTAGAGCATTTTCATTGAGTTTTCAGGAAGATAAATGACTTTGAAAATGTGAGGTGATCTCAGACGAAATAGTGAATATCTAATCTTGTTTGGCAGTAACCTGGCATCCATTATGCGCAAGTATCAGTGTATGAGAACCTTCAGAAGCAAGACAGAGAAAGAAGAAGAAAAGTATATAGACTAGCGAGATATGACGCTTCCCCTCTCAGATCCCCTCCCTTCCCCGCGGGGATGTACGTGCATACGGGCCTTGGTGTGTAATAGGGTAGGGGGACGAACTCTGCCGGTTTGAGCCCACCTTCGCTGGCAACTGGTCCTTTTGCTAGTGTTGCATGTCGTTGCAGGACCAGTAGTCCGCGAAGGCGATTCAAACTGGCGGAGTTCTTCCCCTACCCGTGTGTAATATATATTAGGTGCCTATTGCTCAAATGCTTGCAGAAATTTATTCGATTATTCGTGATTAGTGAAAACGATTTGATTTTTTGCCACTAGGAATTTTGCGTTATTTTTGGAAGGCACCGTCCATCGAAATTAAGAGTGGTGAGATTTTGATGTTACTTAAAGCGACGCCTCTAATTAGGCAGCTGCATAAGTCTTGCTGCAAAAGATGAATTCCAAAGGGAGAAAAGCGTTTCAAAATGTAGAACCAGCTACGCTAGCTCCGCCCACTAATGTGGGGCTTTGAAAATATCTGTGCGAAATTGGGCTAGGGTAGACAGAAAGGTCGCAAATTTGGTGACCATAATGAAGGGCAGTCCTACGGCACGTTTGGATGGATTGAACCCCCGTTTTGGACCTGTTATTTTTAGACCACCCTTAATGGGCGGAGCCAGCGCGACCGTTTCTAACTAGTGGAGCGGTTTTCTCGCGTTGGATTTCATCTTTTGCAGCGAGACCCAGACGACTGCCTAGGTAGGGGCTTCGCTATCATAAAGCAAAAAAAAATCTTATCACCCTTGATTTGAACGGGTGAACGGTCCTTTTACCAATAATGGGTTTTATGGTATTAGGCGATAACTTTATCAGCATATGGACTTGAGGCTTCGTAATTATGCTGTGATGACTAATATGCAATATGAGATCATCCAGGCGGAAATTTTTCTGGAGTTGACAAACGTCCAGTAGCTCGCGACGCGCTTTTGTCCGCGAGCATACTTCACGCGATTCCAGTCGCCCGCGATTTGGCAATGCTCCAATTTATAATCTATCGTGAACGCATCCTGACTGTACAGAAGATAGGGCTTTTTGTAAATCTGCGAAAGTTAAACTTGCTATGCACTTGTAGTATGCCACTGTAGGATGTGAGGACATCTGGAAAATTGCCAGGTCACGTGGCAACTGAAATCGCGTGCAGTATGACCAGGATTCATGGAAGATTAGCTTCAAATCATACCTGTCACAAAAATATCTGCTTCATCGATAGTGAAGCTCATATGCGCGTCAACATAGAAATTAGAGGCCATTACTGTAACCTGCTGGTTCGTCTAGAATCTTGGTGTTAAATGAATGCTACTTCCCAAGTACTACGTCTTGCAGTTTTCTCGGCAGTTTTCTGAAAATCAGCTCATAAATTTTCGCTAAGTCCCTCTTAGGTGGATGATTTATGCCTCAGCGATGACTGGTTCTACCTTTACTACCTCACAATTGTCTGGCTAACATTTACAATGGTATGGTCGCATTTTTGGTGTGATTGCATAAAGCTGAGACCTATTTTTCTTTTTTGGAAAAAGGTGATTAGATGTTAAAATGTTAAGGTGTTTAAATTTAAGAAGAGTCAAGTAACCGGGATTTCGGGGAGTCTGCCTTATTTGTAATCCTGCCCGATATTATAGTAACAGAATAGAATTGATAGAAAACGCTTGAAGTCCAACGCAGTAGTGGCAAGTGAATTAGATGAATGGTAGAACAATGATATAAGCTTCTAGCGCGAGTAGTATCCTGAATTTGTTCTCCTATTCACTAAGTTTTGATATTACTGGACCATGAACAAATTTGGCGGAAAATCTATTTTGCGTCAAATCAGCCTTCATAATGGAAAAATTTTTTTAAATGTAGGTTGAAGGCATTCTAAAAATTTTGGTTACGTAAGCTTCTGTAACTGAGCTAAAACAATGATGCCAGCTCGAGCTGGCCGTTGTTCAGTTGATATGATTCATTCGCGCCAGAACAAAAGGCTCGTCTGAACAACCGCTCTGTATCATACGCTTCCCGAGCGACCATTTAGCGTCTTCGGATACGGTACTGGGCGAAAATCTAGAGGGGGGGGGGTTTGCCAACCATAACTAAGTCGAATGATTTGATGTTTTGCTGTAACTTAGTCGGGGCTTCCAGAGTATCCCCTAAAAAAGCTAAGGTACCGAATTTACCTGTAAGTTACTTTGAAACTAACTGTATGTTACTATGTATTTTGGTTGAAGTCAGAGATTATTGCATAAAAAGTCACTTGGAGGCATGTTGAATTTTACGATTCCGTTATTTCATTGAACCCATGAAAAAAAGATGAAAGTATCTGATTACGTGAGAGTGACTTAATGTTGATCGTTGAATGAGAAGTTAGAGGAGGTGGAAATTCGAAAATTCACCTGCAAAAGTTCACACCTCATAGGCACCGTCTACCCAAAGTTGTGATTGCTGAGGTTTTAATGCATTACAATAGGAAGGCCCTAATTGATTGCTAATCGCCGAAAGTAGTATTACGAAGCAAGAAAATCGCTCCAGAAGGGGTATGCTGCTAGTGTCGCAGCGTCCATTAATGTTGGTGGTCTGACGAAACTGGAGTCTAGAATACCTAGAAATGTCAAAATGTAATTTTTTGAAATGAAAGACAGATTTTAACATTTCTAGGCACTATCATGTCTGATTTAGGTCTCATTACGTTTCGACCACCCACGTCGATGGGCAAGGGCGTGGCGACCCTAGCAGCATCCACTTTCTGGAGGGATTTTCCTGTTTCGCAGTGCACCTTTTGCAGCGAAACTCGGGCATTCACTAAGTAAGAGGCTTCCATGTTGCATCGCCTTGAAAATCCTTGAATTTTGATTGGTGGACGATGTTTGGAGGGCGTAAATGCAATAGGCCGGCAAAAGCCCGATTACGTCTAGGGTTACCTTGCAAATGCCAAAGTTTTCTACTGAAGTAGCAAATTTTGCATTTTCTGTGAGGTATGTGTTCGTTATTGCGTTCATGTGCAGTTGTGTGGTTTTCTTTGGTTTTTCTAATGGTTAACATCAACGCGGAACGCGCTGTGCTCGCGAGACATTATGCGCATTGCCCGCCTTCAAAACTTGTGCTGTGTTGTGTGCATGCATGAAACCGTGTGTCCTTTCGGACAGCAACTAAGCGCTCCGTCATCGACTCGACCGACGTTGATCGTCGTCGTCGTCTTTGATGCCAAAACGCAGTGTTTCATTCAAACTCGATGAACCTTCATCAGCAGCAGCATCTACTTCTAGAGCACATTCGCAAAATACTGGATTGGATAGTGTTGAACAGCTGGTGAACAGCTATTCATTGGAACGACAACGAACACGTCGTCAAAGCTATGATGGTTTGATTTTTGATTTTTTTTAATATTTGATTTTGTTCTTTAGTTGTTTGTATGTGTTTAAGATTATCTCAAACGAGTTTACAGTTTAGATTTGAAAATTGGGTGGGGAAGTGATTCTTAAAGTCATTTGGATAGCTTTTTGAAGTGCAAAGGACCCTTTCGCAGTTGATACAGTAATCTTACCGCAATCTATGGACCCCTCTTAGGATACGAGACTAGCATGAAACAATTTTTGAAAAAAAAACACAAAACAAGTGTGGACCTCTTTGCACTTGTGTACAGCCCTGGGAGGTGAACTAGCTTTATGTAGTTTAAATGGTCGGGAAAATGCTAAAATTGATTTTTTTTTTTGATAATAAACACTGTGTTTTTGTTAAATCAGGTGGAGCGCTTTGCACTTGCATACGGTATGTTACGTAATCCATGCCAGCTGTGGGAGGCCAGACTAACATCATAAATTCAACTGTTTCAAAAATTTTTATCAATAGAAGGCTTTTGGGTCGAAACATAACATCTCATATCAAGTGTAGACCCTTTTACATTTACATACCGTATACTACCGTAATCCCATGTGGTTCTACGAACTTACGCCATAGACCTCACCTGGCTGAAGAAGTGTATCTGGCTTTGTTTTGTTACAGTGATAGAACTAAAATTTTCTTTGTGGTTTCCCGCAACAGTGGACTCTTTGATCACTTACCGTATACTACCGTAATCCCCGGGGTAAAAGTGCCGCTCCAAAAGCAGTTTTGCTAAATGGTATTATCTCGGTAAAATGGATGTGAACCGTTTCGAGACCTTTTTGTATTTATATACCGTAAACTACCGTTATGAAGTGTGGCCCTTTGGCAAAACTTGCGTCATGGTCTCCAGCCGAAGGAAATGTGTGTTTCGCTATTTTGAGAATTTGTGAAGATTTGGAAGTGTAGGCCATATCTGCAGTTGTTACCGTACTATCGTAAGCTAGTATGGGCTCCAAGGGGGAGAATCTGCATCATGAAGTATGGCCCTCCGTTCTTTTGTCCAAGAAAGTTTGAAAAAAACTTCATTTGGGCTGCTGTTTAGATACATGCATATCAGATACACTTGTCGCAGGATTACGGTAGTATACTGTAGCGACGCGTTACAGAAATATTTTGCCAATTCTCTAGATTAGTAAATAACGCTTGCAAACCGAGCGGTAATGCAACGGGCATGAAGGCAGCTATTTTTTTTATTTTGAACTACATTTGTTATTACATAATATTTGTAGCGAAATTCTTTTCTTGAGGTGGGTTTACTAGGGTTCATCCAGTGACTTATGGATAAGATATTTTTGGCTTGGGAGGTGTTCACTTATAAAAATGAGCCATTTGTTTGCTCAGTAAGACTACTCTTTGAAATTGGGAAGCTTAGGCTACGATGTAAGAATTTTTTGGATGCGACTGGAATGCAGCTATTACTCATGTGCTTTCCACGAGCACATGAGAAATAGCAATTTGATTTTTTCGAAGCAGTCCATAGAGAAAGTAAAGAACGAAACCGCCTGTTTGATTGATGAGCGGACCCGTCAGTGAACCCTTTCTCCTTTTTATTTTGTTCGACTAGCCCACAAACAGTGAAAAAAAGCTTTTTTCTCAGCGCTAGTAAATTTTCGTTTTATCGTCTGGGAGCTATCGCAGATGTTTCTCTTTTGCTTAAAGGCATTGTCCAGGTCAAGGGGGAGGGGGGCAGGGGTGGTAGGATTACACAGTGTGAGAGCACGGCTTCTGACTGATGCAACGGTTCAAGTCCGATCGAAAAAGATGGATTCTGAAGTGCAAAAATCGCTTCGAGAAAAAGGAGGGGTACGCTAATCCCGCCTCCTTGACAAGTTTTGACATGGTCAATACATTTTAGATTTACAGCATTCGCCATGTCAAAACTTGTCAAGGAGGCAGGATTAGCGTACCAACGCTTTTTTCTCGAAGCGATTTGCTCGCTTCAAAATTCACCTTTTTTGATCGGACTTGAACTGTTGCATTAGTCAGGAGCCGTGCTCCTGCACTGTCAAAATCTCACCACCCCCAGTTGACCTGGACAATGCCTTCAAGTCGTTCTCATTATTGTGAAAAGAATGAACGAGCCAAATACGAAAATTTAAGCCTTTGGCACTCCAGTCACCACTTCCCCTCCTAATTTTTGGGTCTAACAAGATTTCAGTAATGTGCAGATTAATAATGTTTAAGAGCAGCAATCATATTTTTTTGCTCCACTGGTGATACCGATTTTTACCTTATTGGCTGAGGGCTTTATGAAGTTGAAAATGCTGATTGTACATAACTGATGTTCCAACTTGCATTTTTACTAATTTTTCTGGGGTGCAGTTAAAAAGGGCTTCATGGATGAATCTGTCTTGTAAATTAGTAATTCGGATCCTCCACCAGCATGTATCCCTTACCCTATCCCTCTCTCCCTATTTCCCGGAAGGGGTCGCGAAATTCGTGAAGTAGCCTACATGGATTATGAAATCGTGCAAGTACCTTGTTCGTGTAAATAATAATAAGAATATATTGAGATTTTCGGAAATTCAGATTAGCTTTGTGGAAGAATTTTTTGAGCGTGCAGTTAGTGCAGTTACTGCAGTTACTCCCCCTCCCCTCTCCTCTCTCCTCCCCCCTCCTGCCTTTTTTGTTCTTTTTTTTTGGCTCGCCCTTTTGATATCTATTTGAATACGGAAAGCCTAGTCAGCTAAGTTTCGACCGAACTGAGTATTCAGACGATTTTTACTTTATTTTTTTTATCTGTAGGCGGTGCCCATTTTGGCAGGGCCACTGTATTCGAAAATAAAAATCTACAGGGCAGATTCATCACACACTCTTTTTTTTAAGTTTCGGAAACTGACGTGTTGAGAGATAGAGAAAGTGATTTTTTTGCGTAACATTCTGTGAATAAAGTGTGTTTGCTTACTCTGAATATATGTTGAGTGTTCTGTGGCACAGATGTGGTGGGAGATGGGACGACAAGTCGAAGTTTGCACGGAAGACCATCGGTTCATAGTCTGTTCAGTCAATTGGAAATCGACGATCAAGGAGCTAATAGTGTGTGGGTGTTGCATGTTTGTTCTATTTTTGGTTCAGTCAGTTGTTGTTGTCTTTCGAAATTTGTTTGTCCCTATGAAATACAAAAATTTTGATTCTAAGAGTACGCGGTGTATAAGAATTTGAATTTAATAGTAAACAAAACCTTTTGCACTTGCACTTTACGAAATTCGTCGAACTTTCGCTGCAGTCGAAGTGCTCTTACGAGCAGAAATGGCACCGAGGGGGTTTACTACAGCCGCGTTGGTTGGCACCGCTGTGCCGCTATGCGCTTTTTTCTAGTTCGTTCGTCGTTGTTTCCTCCTCCCCGTCCCTTTCGCCCGTTCTCCTCTCTTCTAGTCGGAGGAGGACTCTCTTCAAATACTCGAAGAATCCAGTTTTACGCGCCACGCTCCTCTCGAACTGTGTGCCTTTGCCTGTGCCATCCGCACACGCAGATTCCCTCACATTGCGCAACCACCCATTCGTCAGTAACCCAAATTCTCTCTGACCCCCTCCCCCTCCGTGTGCGCAGTTTCCACGCCAGCTCTTGAAACCACTGGAAACGAACTAGCCATCAAAATGATGCGTGAACTACAGAATCGTTTTGATCAACAAAGTCTTTACAGTTCGAAAAGAAGTCTTGGACCAAGTCAAGCACATTCGTACAATGATGTGGTAAGTATTTTATAGTTTTTTTGTATTTTATAAAAATTTTCTTATTATTTCCATCACACTCTTTTTATCCAAATGATTTACTTGTTGACATGTTTAATTATGTGCAATTTGACACTCTATTTTCCAACTCAAAACATGCAGGATTCTTGCGCACTTTGAAATATGTTATCGGGAACTTTTTTTGTATAAGCTTTTTCTTTCCTTCTGATTCATACCCCTCTGTCATGTGTTATACCAGCCATCGTGCGAGTTTCGTTCTTTCTATTTCTGCATTTTTTCGCTGCTGATGGGGAAACATTGCTGTAATGCCTTGCATCCTTAAGCTTCTGTGATTACTTTTTGAACTGCTGTTTTTCGATTTATTGTGTTAGATAGCGCATTCTTGGGTATTTTTGTCTTCGCCACCTTGGAGCGAAACTTAGTCAGCCATGGATGCATTGCTCGCTTCTATATACAAATTATAGAATGGAATTTATTCCGGCAGGACCTTTTTCTTACGATAGGTGGCAGTTAGCTACAAGAAGGCATCGGTTGCACTTGTTCTTATCTTCTTTGATGCGGAGTTTGAGATATGTTCTAGTTTTTTTCCAGCTTTAGGCTTATTCAAACTAGCATTCCTTCTTCTCATGTTGTGAGTTACGCTCTATTTGGTTGAATTCTTCACTTTGGTGTCTTTCTGAATCAAATATGGTGCTGATCAGAACCTTTGATAGAGATCTGAAATTAGGAAAAGAAAAGTGCCTGCCACCCACTCACACACCTTATCTGGGGCTTAGTTATCAATTTCCCGATCGGGCGCTGTTTTACCGTTATGAACTAATCACCTGATTGAACGTGCGTTCATAACTGTAAATCAGCTTCCTATCGAAATCGGTTGACGATTACCGCTTTTGAGATAGGTGGCCACCGTTCAGCTAAAGAGGGGAGGTAGGGGGGGGGGGGGGGGTGGAAGTAGATCAATTTATTGTGTTTGAATCTCCTAATGTTACTAGGAGATTAACATTCCTATAGATTCTGCGTTCTCTTGGCTTCCTATCAATTTTTTCCAAGCGCTGCAACATTTGAACCATGAATCTTGATTGTCCCTGGACGATTAATCAGTCTAGTAGGGATATCTGTAGGCGCAATAAACGCAAACGACATCTTTTTCATAGAATCGTTAGCGAAACGTCTTTGATGTCGAGGATATCTCACCAATTCTCACGAACGCTGCAATTTTTTTGAATTTTGTGGGCATAAGAGTCTTATGATTACTGTAGCCGAGCGCTTCTTCAAATTTTTCAAAGAACCTACGGAACTGTTCGGTTCTCTTGGCTAAATTGTAATTAACTACAGTGATTAACAACGAGGGTCAATTTCTGGAAGTCTGAGTTACAGAAACATGCAGCTTTGAATTTCGTGAACTATCGAGATAATTTGTGAACTGTAGAACTTGTCTGGAGTCGCTGAGGCCACGCTTTTTTTAGAGGGTCAAAATCGTAAGCTCTCGAAAAAATTTGACATCTCAGAATGTCCATGCAAAACCTCGTGAGCCTTACGTTTTTTCGTTTGAAAAAAGTTTTTGTTGCTTCCCTCGTACAAAAAAAAATTTTGCGGATGTTAGTGTCTATCCATAGCTGAAGTGCCAATGATGTTAGCCAATATATGTGGGCGGAAGACGAGAAGATTTGTTTGATGAGCAGTTTTTACGCGGCTTCCGTATATTTGCCTATGAACGTCACTGGCTCAAGCCGTATTGTTTGGTGGCACTGTCAAACAACGAGAGAAATGACTGTTAGAGCGCTAGAACCTGGAAATTTGGTTCCTGGTTCTTAGAAATGAATAATATTTTCAATATGATAGCCAGGCACAGTAGCATCTCGAAAAGACGGGGAAAGGGGGGGGGGAAGAAAGGCAAGAAAATATGCTTTATATGAGCTATGAAGCTATGCGGGTTACTTGTTTCATTTACCATCAATAAATTAGAAGTCAAGTTAGCTTAGTGAAAAAATAATTATTGAAGGCGATGTGGGGTCGTGGCTCACTTTTTTTATAATTCTTTTAGCGTTGTAAGCTTGCAAAGGGATGTATAAAAGATTTTTCTATAGGTGCTTCATACTTTGAACGCTTTTGATCTAGAGAACTCGTGCCCGCTTTTTATCCCCACCTCCCCCCCCCCCCCTCCCTAAAAGTTCCTGCAAAGCCACTACTTTCGGACTGACAGGATGATCAAAAACAGGACTCAGCAAGCTGGAACGGGGCCAAGCCGGATTTCGTTTTTGGGACAAAAAGAAAGGTGATATCGTTTTTGTGGCCGAAGAGACACAAAAATTGTGGCGTTTTTTTGTCGACGTTTAGTTTTCTTGAGGGTTTTTTGCTTTCAGGGTTTAGGGTCAAAGGAGACTTTGTACGAAATTTTCAAGATCAGAAGGAATTTCGTTTTTTAAAATTTCCCCGGTGCCATTGTGCCGAGCCCCCTGATTAGAAAGCGTTGATTGATTGGTTTTAAAAATTTCTTGCTAAGTGTAATAGCAAATGCTAGCGGTGTAATAGCACATAGTATCAGTAACCTTCGCTTATAGTTCTAGCCGTACCTTGCTAGTCCTATTTTCTCTGAAGTGCTCTTTGGAAAGTCGACAAATTTTCTTCCAAGTTTCTGGTACCGTACCGAAAAGATCTCTTGGATGAAATTCTTTAGAAAGAGCTGGGCTTTTTTCTAGCGATTAGGGAGCGATTTCACCGATGAGATGATTATAAATTCACAAAATGCGTCATTCTAAAAAATTGAGAAATCGTGCTTGAACCTCAATCATCAAAAGTGCTCGCAAGCAAGGATTGGCTGCATGCGTATATATAAGTCAGAAAGAACCTCTAGAGTTTCTCTCATAATCAGGCCATTTTAATTTTTTTGGAGAAAGACTCCTTTTGAGATAGGTGAGCAGGACGATAAGGTCTTCCATTCCTACATGGCATTTACCCTTTGATTCAACTGGCTTGGCGCATGGAAGGCGGGGTTTCATGACCTAATCAAGGCTAGGTAATGATCAGAGAACACGCGCGCGGGAGAGACGCAGACAGCGTCACGGGCACAATGGCCTTAAGCAGGTCACAGAGCCCCGCCTTCTAGAAGCCAAGCCAGTCGAATCGAAGGTTATGAGATAAGGTCCCAAAAACAATTTTTACTTTGTGCTTGGTAATCGATTCTTTATCTTTCGGGCATCTGCATCATGCTATCTACTTGATGAGTGGGTAGAATGAAAAATTAGGGACTAGTCGACACAAATATCAGGGCAGAAATCATAAAGAAACAAAATCATAAAGCTAATGCTAAATAGATCGCTGACTTTAAATTTGAGATATGCACTTTGCGTAATGCTTCTTTCATAGGTTATGGCAAGTATATAGTAACAACTCTCTCCTCGAGGTTCCTTAAAATGTAATTACGCCATTTGAAAATTGATAAAATCAGCATGCTTAAAAATCCCACTGCGTAACTTCTCAAATTTTTTTCTGAAACGACAGTCTATACACAATAACGCTGTAAGTTGAAAGTTCTTATCGTAATTTTACACTAATGCACTGAAAATCAAACTTTTGATACATTTCTTTGGGGGCATACTGTATTGTACGATTGTACGAATGTATGGGTCGAAATTTCAACATATTCAATCAATGCGTGCACTTTTGCTCTTCAGTGTTTTTACATCAGCTTAAGCTAGTTTCGTCCTGTGTGTTTGCTCGAAACATATGTTTCTTCTGAGAAAGCAACAGCACAGAGCATTTATGTTTGTGGTCCCAGTCATGTATGGTAACTCGAAATTATTATCATCAGGAAAAAGATTTTACAGGGATACAAAATATCTATCACTCTCATCATTCGTATAGTTATCATGTTCCCGTTGCTTACGTTAGGCCATCAGTACATCTTTAAAGTAGAGAAGAAGGGTGCTTTTTTATCATATAGTCTTTTCGCACATTTTGATTTTGAACTTTCTAACTAAACTTTCCTTGTTTTAGTTAATTGATTTTTTTTCAGTTTGCTAAATTATTGTCATGTAAATCATTTGTAACTCAATCTTTTCCCAGGTTATAGCGTTATTCTCTGGGGAATGTAACATATCAAATCCAAATGATATCTCTTAATTATTTGGAAATTTTCAATTTCTACTTCCCATCAACTTCTCGAAAGCATTATTTAAGCGAGGCGGTCGATCTCCATCGCGGGATTTGCTCCACGGCGATTCCATGATTGGTACGATGAACAGCGATTATAGTAGCAAACATGGAATTTCGACAATTCCCAAGGGAGACTGTGCACATTGTGGAAAACCAATCGTTGGACAGGTAGCTGACAATCTGGGATTCCCAATTGTGATTTGTTGTCTTTTGATGTTTCTTAAATCCAGGTAGTCATTGCTCTGGGTAAAATGTGGCATCCTGAACATTATACATGCTGTGAATGTGGATCAGAACTTGGGCATAGAAATTTCTTCGAGAGGTTATTAATTTTTCCTGAGTTGTGGTCCCCCTTCCCCTTCTAAACGAACCATATATAGAAACGGACGTGCCTACTGCGAAGAAGACTACCATAATCAGTTCAGTCCAAGATGTGCAGGTTGCAATGGACCAATCAAAGATGTAAGTGGAGTACTGTAGCTGATATGGTTGGATAAATGACATTTATTTTAGCGATGTGTGACAGCCTTAGGAAGGAATTATCATCTACAATGCTTTACTTGTGTCGAATGCGGTCGAGAATTCGGTGATGATGGATTCCATGAGAAGGTCGGGTTTTATTTACCAAATTTTGAGTTATGCAGCTTCATCGTGCAGAACTTGAGGTTTTTTTTACCACTTTTAGTTATAGTTTGTCTTTGATGTCCGCCCTTTGAATCTGGGGGTGAATAACGTGTTTTTTTCGCTTCAGGATCAGAAACTAAGGAATTAGTTGAAGAGAAAGCTCAGATTTTTTTTTGTAATTTGTGGCATTTTAAGGATGGTCAAACTTATTGTCGCCGTGATTTCTTCCGACTTTTCGCACCGAAATGCAATGGCTGCCAAAATCCGATCACTAGCAACTTCATCACAGCTCTTGGAACCCATTGGCATCCGGAGTGTTTTGTTTGCCAGGTATGTATGTTCAAAAATATTTGTTTTTGAGGAGAGGACCAAAAATATACATCTACTCAGCGTGTATCAAGTTACGACATCATTTTCGCTGGTGTTATTCATTGATTTTCTACCCAAAGTGATTTTTCTACAGTCTTTTGTTTGCCTTTGGATTTTTGTTTATTTCGAAGCTTATCGAAGGATATGAAATCTCTCCTATTCTTACAGAAACTCCTATTCTGTAAAACGAAAATTTCCCGTATTCTTGTCTATATAGATCACAAAACCAGAACTAATGTCCAATGCCTCCATTGAAAAACATTGGGGCCTTAGTAACTTTTTGAAACTTTGAACTGCAGCGCTATCAGGTTTTTTCTTAGTCCATATTATCCTCCCGTTAGAAAAAAAACCACCATCCCGCTTATTTCTCTCAACAAAAGCATTTCTTTTTAATTACTTTGAAAATTTTTCTAACAATAAGATACGAATTTTATTTTTTTGCCTCATATTATGCCAGGTTTTTATGGCTTGAATTACAAATTTTTTGAGTGAAAAAATTCGTTTAAATTTAAGTAATGTTCCTGAATTTGCGTCTAAAGCAGTATGCGTTTGTCTATTGTGACAGTGGAACAGTTGTGAACCTGTCTTGATTCAAACTATCCTTATGTTGATGTCAACGTTGTCCCTGTGACGTCACCGTTGTTTAGTGTTGTTTACTATTTGTTTACATTACTGTTGTGTGTGAGTGTCGTGTGAAGTGTGTTCATTTCTCTACAGATGTGTGGAGCATCATTTGCCGGCGGTACATTCTTCGATGATGGCGGTCAACCACTTTGTGAAACGCACTACCATGAACGACGAGGCTCACTTTGTCACGAATGTCGACAACCGATTTCGGGTCGATGTGTGACGGCCATCGGACGTAAATTCCATCCAGAACACTTCCGATGCTCGTATTGTAACAAACAGCTTACAAAGGGCACTTTCAAGGAAGTGGATCGACGCCCGTTTTGTCATAAATGCTATGATAATACTTATGCTTTGACATAACTCGTTTTTGTTATTTTACGTATGTTGCGGTGACAACATTACACCGTAAAGGTGCTTCCAATTTTTCAGTACTGCAAATAGTTGAAGTATATCCTAGGCAGCGTTCGGAGTTGATTTTGTGTTGGGCTGTGCCAGTACCGTGTCAGCGCCGTGCTGGCGCCGTGCCGGAACTCACGTGGACGCGCCCCGTAATGATCGATAGACGCTCCGGCACGGCGTTATCATGGCGCTGGGCAGTTCAACATGCAGCCTTGAGGACAAAAAGATTGTCGCAAATCCATTTTCAAAGATAAAATTGGTTTTCAAATAGGGACCAGTTCTCGTCTCTATGCAGGTGCAACTTTCTTAGCTTCTCTTTTTCATAGCCAGCTTAGAGTCTTTTACTATACTACCTTGATTCTTTATTGAAGTTTCTACTTTCCATGCTCACAACATATTTTCCCTAAATGTTTTGTTGTGCTTTTTTTTCCGCTCACCATTTTCTCCACGTTATAAGTTTCTTTGTTTTTTTTACTGAATAGACTATCAATATTCTATGTTCATCATATCCTTGTACTTATACTGCGAACTGTGCATTAACCGAACGAGTTGTGAATTTGTCAATTTACGCTATTTTGTGCTCATATTGCTAATTGGAATGGTTTAGTTCTTAGTGGCGTCATTCTCTTATCCTTGGTTCAGTACTGCTAGCATTATATCTGTTTTAATTAAAAATTTCGGTTATTGTCGTGAGAATGCAGTTTTATCAGTTCAAATGTGCTTTCTTAACGGCTGATCTGAGCAAAGATTGTTTTGCGAATTTTAGGGTGATGATCACTTTGCTCGCATGTGTCCAATGAGTGTGACATACTTCGAAGAGGAGCCGATATATTGATTGATTGATTGATAAATCGTGACGTAAATCAGTCTCATATCATCAAAATGGCAAGTAGCATTATGTAGATTTGCTATTTTTCTCAAATTTTTGTTTCATACAGATTGTAATAAAGACTTGCGCTATGTAAACCTTGTAGGTTGTTATGGGGCATCCAGTAATAATAGGAAGTTGAGAAGAGAACTGCACCGAACGACACCTCCGAGCCAAGTTGTTCATTGTTAAGTGTGCCAGCGCCGTGCTAATGCCGTCCAGAACGTCAGTTGATCAGTAATTGACGCGTGAGCGCTGGCGCGATGCCAGCACGACTCTAGAGACAGCGAACGTGGTCGCATATGCATATTGTGAATGTAATTGCACTGCGGTCGTACAGGCCAAATGTGCTATCAATAAAACAGTCGAAAATTCCTTAAGGGAATAGATTGCTTGAAGAACGTAGACTGGTCCAGAGTGTTTTTGCCTGAGAACAATACGGGCGCATTTGCATGAAAGCTGGCACGACGCTGGCATAGCGCTGGAACGAGTTCTCTAGGCAGCGTTAGGCTTGGCTGCATGAGCATAAATAGGACCTGCAATTGTTTCGAACAAATACTACGGAAAGACAACCAAAAATTTCTAAAGGGAACTCGGGTTGCCAGCTTCGGGTCAGTCCCTTGATGTGACTCAATCGGACAATAGGGGCGCACGCAGTGGGCCGGTAGGGCGTTAGCGTTGCGCTGGTGCAAATGGAGTGCACGGTCAAGTCTTGACGCTGACTAAGTGGAGCTTCACAAACATTTCTCTACCTTGTTCTCCAATTCCTGAAAATTGCCAGGGTCAAGCGAGGGGACGCCACCTACTGAGGAGAGTCAGAGAGGAAAGGGGTTGTAATCGAGGTCATATACTGATGTAAGGGATAACATAATATTCGTTAATGATGCAGATAAGCCCATCACACAAGATAGAAGCACACTTAGGTGTATGACCTATCATTGTATACGAACAGTAAGCAACGATAACCTTTAGCCAACGAAGTGAGTATCATTATCGTAATTAGCGCATCAATAATGTACCCATTTTTAGCGAATAGGGTTTTAAGACACTTGACTCTCAGTCAAATGGCCGTTATCAAACATGATTGAATTCGTTTTTTTTTAGCTCTGGGTTTCACTAATTACTTACTGCTAACGGCCTGCCACCGCAGCCTATAATAATGTAAAAGCCCGAGTTCCCCTATTTTCCACTTCGTGGACATTACCTTTGTGTCATGTGTTCCAAAAAGCTGCACACAATACGCGATTCTTCAGTGCATGTGCTCTCTGTAGTCAGTGTATTTATTGAAGTTGGAAAAAGCTTACAGATTCGAAGACAGTGTTCGGGCAAGAGCTCGATTTTGAGATTTTGTACTTAAACGGGCCTATTTGCCATGCTGAATCCGAAATCCACACTGGAAAGCGAGAAAACGGCAAAGAAGGGCTCTACAAGAAGGAAACAACAAGTGGGCGGAGTCCTCCCCAGTGTGGATTCACGCTCCCAGCTTTCGGAGCGAACTTCTCGATCCCGCTAGCCATCCTACCTTCACTATTGGCCAAGTGCACATGGCAGACTTAAAACCGAAAGCGAGCAGATCGCTCCGGAAGCTGTGAGCGTTAATTCACAGTGGGGAGGACCCCGCCCACCTGCTGATTTCCCTCTTGCGTTAGAGCCGTTTTTCGCCGTTTTCGGGCTCTCCAATGTGCGTCGGATTTAGCGTAGCGAATAGTCCCGGGTAAGCACAAAATATCAAGATCGAGTTTTTGAACCGACATTGCCTTTAAACACTCGCAACTTATTTCATAGAGTTGATACCGGACAAGAAAATTAGACTCTCAGGATTTAAAGGCGCTTGTAATACAATACCACTCTCGGAATGTGCAAAATTTCCGGGAATTCCGCGAAAGTCCGCGACATTCCTGGAATTCCGCGAAATTTTGGCTATCTTGCGAAATCAACGTGAATCACGCAAACTACGCAGCGCCATAGCTTCCTTCGGAATGAATATATTCTGTAGCCGGAAGCAGCATTGTGTTCAGCTCGTCAAGGCGAATCTTTTCGTACGCAGCATGTAATCAATATACCCTTTCCACTTTTTTGAAATTTTTCTGCGGAGGTCTTTTCTCAAAGATTTAACACAGGGTCTGTCCAACGTAAAAGGTTTCTGTAAGTAGTATTCGATGGTACTCCCTCTGTAGATTATGGAGGCCAAAGAGTAGCCGCAGACCTCTTTCCAAAGGAAATAGAAGGGCTGATGAATTCTAGAAAAATCATGTCGTTCTGAATTTTACTCATCATAACCCTAAAATGTGATTTTCGTAATCAGCAGATCAAATAATCTCCATGAGCAGGTTTTTTTTAGGAATCGTGCTATCAAAGGGTGCTTGTCTCAGGCTTCAGTCAATGAAAATCGCCGAGTTACGAGCCTACGAAAACACGTCCTCATGAATTTTGCCCTGAATGTAAAGATCTACTTCGTCGAAGTTCCACCGCGAGTGGTTGTACAACACGTTGATTAAACTTTTTCACACCGCTTAATGGATCTTTCTGTATTGGATTTGATGGTTATATAGATCTGAGGTGTGGCTACGAAATTGCTTCGATAATCAGTTAAGTAGCTGAACCACACGCAACCGCCATATTCAGTAAGCAGGATCCCTTGGGCGAAGTGAACATAATGTTGAGTAACATAATGTTTGCAACCATAATGTCGTAGAAAACTCACGGTGGAATATTGACGAAGTATGCGATCTTTACATTCTGAGCAAGATTCACGAGGACGTGTTTCGTAGGTCCGCAATTCGGCGATTTTCATAGACTGGAGCCTGAGACGAGCACCGCTCGATAGCACGGTTCCTAGTAACTTTAACCCATAAAAGCAGGCAGTGAAAGATACGCGAGAAGCGCGGGCGAATCTACGAATTTTCGTGACTAGTCACAGTTACCTCATCATATCTCTGCAAAAAGACTTATTCTCCAAAAATCATGATTTTCGTAAACAGCGTATAGGAAAACCTCTATAAGCGAAGTTTCTTTACAATCGAAGATCATCAACATCTGACCAAAATCCACCGGCGAGCACCAGAGCGTAAAACGAGAAAAAATGAAATAAGCCAAACATTTCGGAAAACTTGCTCATAGAGGTTATCCAACCGGCTGATTACGAAAATCACCTCCGCTTAGAAAGAGAGCTTCAAATTTTAGGGTTATAGTGAGAAAAATCCAGAACGACAAGATTTTTCCAGAATTCATCAGCCCTTCTATTTCCTTTGAAAAGAGTTCTGCGGCTACTCTTTGGCACTCCATAATCTACAGAGGGAGTACCATCGAATACTACTTACAGGAATCTTTTACGTTGGACAGACCCTGTGTTAAATCTTTGAGAAAAGACCTCCGCAGAAAAATTTCAAAAAACTGGAAAGGGTATATTGATTACATGCTGCGTACGAAAAGATTCGCCTTGACGAGCTGAACACAATGCTGCTTCCGGATTCAAAACATATTCATTCTGAAGGAAGTTATGGCGCTGCGTAGTTTGCGTAATTCGCGTCGATGTCGCGAAATTCCTGGAATTTCGCGGAATTCCCGAGATTTTGCGGAATTTCGGGACTGCCGCGGACTATCGCGGAATTCCCGGAAATTTTGCATGTTCTGAGAGTGTATTGTACATGCGTCTCCTCGTATATTGCCAGTGAGGCTTAATATTCTTGTCACAGTAGTTTCGTAGCTTTAGTAGTTACCCGTACTGATCTCTATGAAAGAGAGATCTAGCGTGTGTAGTTAACATGATTCTCAGAACAAGATGAACAGCGGGATATCGTCGGGCATCGAACACTCTGACCCGACAAGGAAAAGTTCATATTTGATTTGATGTGAACTCTCTCGATGAGATGCATATAAGTCAAAAGGTCTTTAACCGCTGATTGCAAACATTCCATATCTGTTTACCGGTTTACTGAACAAAGCTAGAGGTAATTTTCCACGACGAATTTGAAACGCACAAGCGCACCCTGGTCGGCGACGCGAAAGTGACGCGCAGTTCTCTCCATCGAGCGCGAGAGCAAGCGCGGACATAGTTTTTTTTACGTTTTTTGAAGTTTCGGATGTCGATCTTAGTACGCCTGTGTTTCAGATTCGCCCCGACTTTCAAGCGCACGATTATTGGAGCATGTAGGAAAGGCAGAACTGGAACGCCTGCTTTTCTATGACTTCTTTGCATGCACTATTTGCGTTTAGCGTACCGGTAATGTTCGATAATACAGTGGAATATCAGTAAAGTCAAGTAGAAGTATGACAAGGGTTGAAAGAAAAGTAAGACCTCTCAGAGGAGTTGTACATGCTGTTTGTTTATCGATAAAGCATCCTTCTCAGCCTTAATTTATAGACTCAGTTGTTATAGTGCCAAGAAGCGAAAATAAAATCTATCGATAGCGTTATTGATGAAGTTACGGCTTCTTTGCAAACTTGTTGCCAATTCTGGTCTCACCTGTTTGTAAGGGTAGAAAGCTGAAAAGTTTGAATTGGTTTTTGGGAGTAGTTTTCACCAAAAGCTGAGATTCGTTAGAAACCAATTGTGGTCCTACACTACTATATAGTCTGTGCAAAATATATACATCGAGGCTTGAAACTAGTAAGGAGGCTAGTAAGAATTTTTATGACGAAGATGGTACTACTGGGCTGTGAAGTTCCTGAATTGTCGCTCATTATTCGTGAAAAAAGAATTGCGGCGGCTGTGCTCGGACGACCTCCGCCGAAGTTCACCGAAATTTTCGCATCAGGTCTATGTTCAGAGTGGACTAGTTCTGAAGGTTACCATTCAGCTACTTCGACATGGCAGCCTTTGTATACACATAACTGCTTTGTCTTG